TTGGAAGAAATTGTATGAAGTTGTTCTGCAAATGGTCAAAACCAAAAGAATCATTTTCTACTATGCCATTAGCTCATTTTTCTAAAAATCCATATAAGAAAAAACGTGTAATACAGGAATGTGTTGACCTCTCAGAGGTGTACATCCTTAACTCCAATTCAAAAGATCACGTGTCCCAAATCGCTTATAGAAAGTGAAGCTTCTTGTACTTCAGGGTTTGCTCATACACACAAGAGCCATAAACAGCTGTGAATTACTTAAATGAATGATTTGAAGAGACTTAAAAGATCGCGAACGTGTAAATGCAAGCTGGTTCTTAGAATCGTATATTTGGGGTTTCGAATCTCTCGGATAATATCAGTATGCTACGTCCACGCGCTATATTTGTCAAAATGTCAAGGGTCTATCGCGATCCAAACGGTTGAACCGGTTGGACCAGAGCAATCTGATTAAAATCATCCGTTACATGGCTCCGCCTGAACAGTTCAGGCGTAGTACGAAGTTAACGAAGCCATGTAACATGTGATTTTAATCAGATTGGGACCAGAGATGTTTGTCAGTAACCATCGAATTCTTCCAAAAATCAATCACAAAACTGGCCAAAGCGTTGATTTTACCAGCGAGTCGTGAACTGCCGTTTGAATATGGTCTTTTCTTATTATCTGGTTATTTTTGAAAGATTGCCTTCGTCAGCCTAGACCGCTAATGAGAGTAGTGTATAACGTATGGGTTATTTGTAATTAATACCCTATGCAATCAGAGAAAAACAAACATAACCGTTTTGTGTATGTCAAGGATTGATCTCTAAAAAAATTTGTTTGGTTTTGCAATAAATGTCAAGGATTGGTCTCATGTTTTTTTCAAGGAATGGTCTTCAAAGATTTGGCTTAGTTGAAATGTATGTAGTGTCTCGGTGTATACAGTGTATACGAAGGGCCTAAGTTTGTACAGCTGTTCAATCAGATGTAGAATACCTTTCTTAGGGATCAGTGGGATAGGAACATACGAAACAGTTTTGATCAACACAAAGAACCATCTTGTCACATTCTTCGTTGGATTCAGAACCGGGGAGTTTCTAGAAAAAGATCGATCGGCGTTTGTTAATATCTTCGTAAAAGACACAAGCGTCGGCGAGGCTACCATGCAGTAAATCAAAACTACATTCATTGATGGTTGGTACCAAATTAAGTTCCTTTGGAAGAAAGACCATCCGGAGCTACCATCAAACCATCTCCGATATCCAGGGGTTACGCTCACTTTCGCTCCCTACACCCCTGGAATTATGTCATAGCAAAATTGAAGGTTCAGTGTGCGCCACCTTGTGGATGAGACAAGAAGACTAGTTCGTGATGTACATCAAAAGAATCTCGCGGTCACGTAACGGTAAAAAATGACAGGCTTTGAAGTCGGGCGATCTTCAAAGGACAGGTACCAGCCTAGCGATTGGTCAGGTTTTTTGGTATCCCAGACCAATCAAACAGCCTTCAATTTTTCTATGGCATATTCCAGGGGTGCAGAGAGCGAAAGTGATCGTAACCCCTGGGTATCGAGGATGCAAAGGTGCTGGACACACTAATATAATGTGTTTGTACTACTATATAGAAAAATATAGTATATCCTTATCATATAGTGTGTTCAGCGCCTGGAGCTAGTACACAACGACCTTGCCAACCTTAAGGAGGCTCCACCCTTTTGCAATTAGCCAGCAGAATTCAATGAAAGTTTCACATAATGGTTATGTCACTATGTAGAGATGATTTTATGAAAATCTCAGCATTCCGATAAACTGGGGATTTTTTGGTAAAAAATACCAAAAAATTGAATTTTTGTCAAATTCAACACTTTCACATTTTTTGAGCGTGTTGTATTGTTTAAAACTATAACAACAATATAATAATGAAAAGAAACGTTGCTAATTAACCCTACAAATATTTTATTTATCATGAAATATCAACAACATGTTACAAAAAGCGTTTTTTATTGAAATTGTATGGATAAAAATTACTAAATACAAGCTAAAAGCAAACAGGACACATAGTTTCATTCAAAAAGAGTGAAAAATTGAACCAAATACACACAAAGTCTGTATAATTGATTTATTTTACATTTTACAATAATTTTGATCCTGGTGAGAGTTGTCTACCTTGAAAAAAATCGGAACTTTTTGCCGAGGGATAGAATTTATTTTCTTTACTATTCCAAAAACGACCGAAATAAATTAAATTACAATATTTAAATGTCAATTTACTGTTCTTTTATGGAACAAAATTACTCTCAATCATGTACACTTTGGACATCATTCCATAGCCCGCTTACGCATGCATGGTATATTAACATATATGTCAGGTTAGGCTATCGCATGGTATGCCGTTATTACGTGCACGCACATGCACTTGCATTTTATAGGGATCTTGATATTTTACAAACCACTATTTTCACAGAGTTATTGTTATTGCATTTGTGAACCGATTTAACTGACAGAGCGTAACTCGCTCGACAACAAAAGTCGTAGCGACCAAGAGCTTGTGAACTTCTGTTAGCACGTGTCGTTAATACGTACAGGTGAGGTTGGTAAACACAAAACACCAGTATGCATTCCATGCGCCTCATATACGACCTTCTTGAAGTCGTCTGATCGTATGTCAGTGTTTTCCCGTGAGTTAATTAATGTCTTTGTATTATAAGCTTTATTTCTGAAGTACGTGTGATTACACATTTCCAAGTTAAGTCTCGATATCGGGTGTTGATATATCATTGTCACGCACGTGTACTATTGTTTACCCGGTGTTACTATAATTTACACTACGGTAATGGAATGCCCGATACGCAATACGGAAATGACGACACGAAAATACGACAAGAAAAACATGTGTATTACGAAGGGTGGAAAGTCCTTAAAGGCACGCGGCTAGCTATTTGATTGGTCTTCGGTATAAAGAAAAAAGAGAACAGTCGCATACAGAGGAGGACACCCGACTTCAAAGCCGCTCAATTTTATCGTTACGTTGTTGCGTGATTCTAACCTCAAATGATCATCTACAAGGTGGCGCACACTGAGCCCTTTTATTTAGCCATGGCATGATCTATGTTCGAAGAGAAGAGCGTAACCCCTAGATTATCGAGGCTACCTTGTCATGCTATTCAGATTGTACGCACCTGTTACGGATATCGAAAGACTTCCGCACGTGTTTATTGACTGAAGATGACTGAGATGCAACCGATTATTTTTGCTCAGAGACCACAGTTAACCGGACACTCATTTGCAACTGTAAGGCCGCCTTGCTCGATTCATTTTATTCACAGCTTCAACTGAATACAACTATTGCGAAACACTTAAAGACTGTCGGGACATTTTTTATTTTATTTTAACAGTGGAATTGGTGAATCCAACTTACTTGAGTCAGTACAAACTGAAGCCATGAATCTATAATATCGGAAACTATATTAAGACGAATCCTTTAAAGTCTTTGACAGCTAGACGATATAAATATAAAACGATTTTAACGATATTATTGAACCATCAGTCAATACTAGAGACACACCATATGATTTAAGACCTTAAAGAAATTTCATATTCTTTAACTGCCCATAAACAAACAAAAAATACTTACCAGTTTTGTGCCAAATATAGCTTTAGCGCAAATTAAGTTTACCTCTATATTTCATGCATTTCTGGATTTTCCGTGAATTTTCCTGAAAACAATATACTAGTAGTAACGCTACAGCAAAAATGGCAAAATGAAAGAAAATTGTCTGAATTTTGCTCTCCAATAGAAAGAATCCGTTGTGGGTTTCAAGTTGTAATAAATTGAAGGAAATAACTTTTGCTGTGCCATTTTGTTCCGAGACGAACTTGTCGTTCCCCTAAACAGAAAATCATGAAAATCTTACGAGAAAAAAAGTCAGAAATTCTCTGTCAGGACATCATTTCTTTTTATTTCAGCAGTGCTATTACCGACTTAGAACAACCGCTTCCAAGAGACTAAATTCTTCCTTTCCAGACACAATGACGGTTTTTTGTCTGGAACTATTTGGAGTCTTCCCAAATATCGGCTTGTAGTTTTAAATCTACATAGTTTCTATAAAACCCTATCTGGTCATGTTTCCAATTGGTTCAAATACAACACTGTAATCTTAAAGGGCTATTGAGATATTATGATATGCCAAATAAGCACAATAAGAGCTGTTCTTGTAGGGGACTGTCATGTGAAGTTATGCAGACAATGATCATAGCCGGATATTTCGTCCGAAATGCGTTTTGAAATTATATGCAGAGTCCCTCGTCCGTTTGAATTGCACGTGGGTAAAACATCTTGAAGTTACGTTGATTCTGCTGCGAAAGTGAAAGTACCAGAGAGATTGAGTGACAAGCTGCACGTAAGAATGATGATACATGTATTTACACAAACATCTATCTGTGATAATTTAGATTGCAGGTTGAATCCCAGGTTATACGAGTGTGATATCATAATGTTAACGTAATGGTGCGTCTTGCCGGCCCCATGTGAGGCTGCTGTCGGGTCGTAAACTAACCTGTTAAACAAGTTATTTAGGTTCAGGTTCGAATTCATGTCAGTAGACTATAAATATGATGGAGTCATATTTTTGTTGAATAAAAAGGGACTTGTAATCATGTATCAAGAAAATATAAACTGTGAAAATGAAGAAACTGTTGGTTGAAAGTGTTGTTTTTGGTTAAAAAATGACATTAGAAAACCTGTGTACACACACACACAATTAACCTTTAACATTACAAATAAGGAAGAAATGTCTGTTCAAAGACCTCTGAAGCATCCTTGTATAGTCACCATTATGAAGTAAAATGTAAGAAAATACTCAATATTTCCAGAATAATGTCATTTGACATATCACAAGTAAGTTGAAAAGCTAACAAGGCTGAACACACGAGTAACACTTGATTGCCTGAGCGAGATCCTGTTTTGAACATTGTAAAGGTAAAATCGTGCATGCATTGCATGTTTTTATTTCACCTTCATTCAACCTTGTTGATTTTGTGCTGAGTTGTGAACTTGTGATATATTCAATGAAAATACATGCTGTCACTCGCGAAATTTTAAGCATTTTCTTCCAGTTTTCTTAATGATAGTGACACACAGATACTTCAGGAGTACATGTATATATAAAGGTAATTATGTTATTATTTGTAATATTTAAGGCTGTGCATGCATGTGCATAATTCTGTGTTTAACTTTCATGTCACTTTCCAGACAAAATCAACAATATTTTTCACATAAATTGATAACCAAACTGCTTCCAAAGTTGTAGATTTTGAAGAAAATTGATGAGCGCACAACAAATGTTATATACTGATATGAACACAGATGAAATGCCTTAATAAGTGATCAGTCGAAAGGCCATAAATTATCATAGTTAATACTCAAGACAGATTGTTTTTGAAGTAACTACAAGACAATATCAACAGTGTTATCATATGTCCCAGACACAATCTGAAACTACAAATTCACAGCATAAAGTATTTACATGCATAAAAAGCCTATTGTAATGGAGTTTAACTGTTAACATACTAGTAATTTTGTACATGTAACAAAAACAATTATAATATTCAGCCGTGACGTCTGATAAAAGAGGAACTGCTCCACTATAATGCTTCAAGGGTGTTCTGTCCAATAATAACAGCTCCCCTATTTATTGTCCTATATAGCTAGCCAATATCTTCATAAAAGTTTTCATATCTGTCTTTCATTATTTGTTAACATGTAGTATTATATTTACAATGCATGTTTGGTGGTATGGAAATTTAAGGCATGTGTCCATCCCTCCACACATTCTTACATATCATTTAACTTTAAACTTGGTAAGCATATTTAATATATAAAGGCTTAAGGCTGAGTTCAAATCAATGCATAATTAATTACCCTGCTGCACTCTGAGTGGCTGTTTTCCAAATAATAACTGATTCTTATAAAACTTGGTCAACATTTATACTTTTTAACACAAAGACAAAGCCCGAGTATAAATTTGAGTGGAATCTGTATATAATTCCAAGTCTTACCCAGGAATCTTATTATTTGTATTGTGCATCATCAATTGGAAAATGGTCTAAGGAAGTCATTCCTTACTATCCCCCACTCAACGAGTTGCAATTGGCATGGGATATAGAAATGGGGTCTGTTCATGCACCTGGTTAACACAAATTGCTCTCATCTATATCTTGCCTACTACAAGTGCTATGTTGATTGTACTTGCATCAATTGTGTATCTAGGGTTGCTCTACTGAATGCATATTGTGGATGCTAATTTTGACCTTTATTTACACTTCATGTTTTTAATAACTTTCGCACTGCGATAGTGTCTTGTATACAATTGTAGTTGAGCTGGACTGAGTTGATAGTCAGCAACCAGGCCCCAGGATCATGAAGTGATCTTAAGTCTAAATTTGACTTCAGTTTGAACTTGACCAATCACAACTAATGTGATGAAAAGTGACATCATGCGTGATTGGCTAAACAAATACATATGTCTAAGATTGTTTCATGATCCCGGGGCCTGGTATCTCAATTGGTAGAGCTTCCATCTAGATTTGGGAGTCTCGGATTGACATTCAGTGTGCATGGCCAAGCATTTCTTATTACAAAATCAAATATATGTTTTTATGTTTTGGAATATGAGTGATGGAAGGTAATCCCTGTACAGTTAAACATTTGTTCACATGTGTTAAAGGACATCCTTTGGCTTGTACAGTACAGTTTGTGTTACCCTTTTACAACATCCAAGAAATAATTCAACTCTGCTTAGTAATATATTGCAAATTTATCACAGTATTTTTCACACGCTAATATGTTGCACAAGACATCTAGGTACTTTATAAGTAGATGCTAATTGACATGTAACAGACTTATATTGTACTGAATCTATGCCCCTGCAGTAGTTTTTTCTTTCCCCGGTTTGAAGAACATGTGAAAACATCAACAGCTTATTTATTAATATTCTGATTGTAATCGATCATTGATTTGTCAGGAAATGTATCAAATTGCAAGCTGAACTTGAAGAAGAAAAACCTTAATTATTCTTTTGTAGACTTGATTTGAAGTGACATGGCTTCCCAGTTGTTGATGTTGGTACTGAAGATTAAGGAAAGCAGTGCTCCTGGTCTTGACCTCCCCACCTTCCTCTCCAAGGTTGATGGATTTCTCAAAGGCTACTCCAAAGCTAGTCAAGTCGTCCATAAATTTAAGGTAAAGAACAATACCAATATAACTTATCTTGTTGTTTTGGGGCAAATTGTATAAAATCATATAATTTTCATAGATAGCATAGTATCTGAAACCATATCTGAAACTAAAGATCTGTACATTTCAGTACAGGCTGAATTGAATATTTCTGTACTTTGTTGTCTGCAGTGTTAATATTAGCGTGATATTCCTCTGACACTGACACCAGACATCTATCTGTCAAAATGTCTTAAGTCTGGTGTCGGGTCCAGAGGAAACTTGGGCCATGTAAATGCATGTAAATCCCAATTTTTCTGTCCTATTAACAGATTTTCCCCACTTTTACAGGTGTGTGGGGAGCCAAGAGTGGTTGCAAGTAAGTAGCACAGAACAACAGTGATGTTGACATCACATAGAATCTAACTAGGGGATATTAGTGGTTAGGATGCTATCACAGTATATGAATGGTGAGTGTTATCTCCCTTGTATTGTTACCTGAGGAGGGACTTTGGATTGAATTGAATGGAATTGAGATGTGTCTCGATTGACCAGTCACTAACATTTGTATGTTGTTGATCCTACCTTGTCCAATGGTGGGTGTTTCAAATTGTAACATAAACTAGTTTGTGATTTGCTCAGTAGAGATTTTCATGTTTTACTAAGTAATTATTTATTATCAGCAAATTGAGAAAACAAAAATCCCTATTTCATGAAGTGTACATGCATTGTATTAGAAAATTGTTTTGACCACAGCTACTGAATAAAAACAAAGCATCTTGTACTTCGAATAACATCTGGTACTTTCTAATAACATCTGATACTCTGTGATACCATTTAGTACTTCCTGTTATATCTACTATGTGAAATATAACACAAATTATTTTTTGCATGTTTCAAGTTTTTGAAGTAAATAACATCCTAGGACTTGAGAGAAACATGGGTGGTTTATCAAGAATCGGTATCTTTGATGTGACCTGCATTCCTTTGTCACACTACGAGACATTTGCCGCAGCACTTGGCGTAGATCAAGGTCTCACGAAAATCTCGCCACAACCCCTCACAAAGAAATTCATCTATTGGCTCAGCTTTAATGTTGAATACCAAGGTATTAAATCATAATTCAATCTTCTGTGGTTCTGTGGTACCTATTATTAATAAACTAAAATTTGTTTAAATGATGCTGCAAGACATTTATGAAATATTTCAAATTGTCTGTGTTTGCTAGCGCTAAGTGGTCTCTATTGTAATACAACATGTAGTATTGTTTACATTACAAATTTAACTACCACGTGTGTCAAGTAATTGACTGTATGACCTTTATTTGATATGTTTTACTATTACTGTAATTACTAATACCTATAGTCGTTGTTCAGTAAATCACCAGAACCATTGTTTGTGATTACATTTTTACAATATGAAGTGTCACCATGATTGTTATAATGTAATTAGCATTGTAGCCTGAAGAGTACACATGTCCAAATATTCAACACTAAGACACATAAACACATGCTAGACAGCAAGCATAACACACTATTTATGTTATTTGCACCCAACATCAGAGATGCAGGTGCTGTATAGTAATCGTGATATACATCGCATCCATCCATGATGTTTTAAGATTTGAAATTGTTGCTATTTTGGAACTAAGCAATATGACTGTTATTATCTCTTAAATTCAATACAATTTTTGTTGTGTTTTCTGTTCAGATTAATTTGGACTGTTAACTTCTATTAAGATTTGATACTCTTCAGAATCCTAGCCTCTGGGAAATTCTTCCCAGATAAGCACATACATAAACTAAAATTAACTTGTTTCTCTGGTCATAGGAAAAACAACAGCTGAGCTGCTGGAGCTATGGGTCAAAGATGCCACAACAGTCTTATCTGCCCGGGCGGCAGGGACTCAACTTGACCTCTACAAAGTCATAGCTGAAAGGAAGGTAACTCTTTTGATGCCTCTATAGTTACAGTAGGACCTTAACTCACAATAAGTATATCTATTTATGTAAGGATTGATAAGTAATATTATATGTAGGGCTATTTGATGTAATATGTTTGTCCAAATGTACCTGTGTGAACTGTACTGTGACGTTAACTCTGACCTCAGATATGCTTGCTTGAATCCTATTGCCACCTGATTTTTTCAATGAGCAGCTTGCAATACTTTTGCAATGTCTTGGTAGATCTCGCATCCCAGGTTAATCAGTCCTCTGCTGTGTCATCGTGAGAGCCATTTGGTTGCCTTTTTGGTTGTGTGTTAATATCAGATCGTGTGGGTTCAAATGTATAGTCTATTTTACTGTTGTGTAATTTGATTGTGTTCAATGGTCCTCTTTTTGTATTATTCTGCCAATAATAAATCACAGTGTCATGGGAAAATCCACGGCTAGTGTCTTTTTCAACAGGGACATTGACAACCCACGGTTGACATTTTTAACATTGATTGTAGCTAACTAATACTATATATCCAGGCATACCTATAGTCTACTCCAACAATGTTAGAGGTTTTACACGGCGAAAAACTTTTGACAGGCGCCGCGTAGCAGTCGGCAAAATCATATCCGATTGGAAAAAGGCCGACCAGCGCCCTCTCATGTTATGGGAGTAACCTATAGTCCTGTAACCGGTATTCACACATCTATTCTCTGTACTTACTCCTACAGGTGCATTGCTTCATTGGTACGGATGTGCCAGACGAGGTTGACAAGTTGTCTTTCGCACTCCCTTTGATGCAAGAGAATGGGGCCAATGTACAGATAGAGTGTCGGGCAGTACAACTCTTGGAAGAATACACCACAAGAATCATGACTGAGAACATACAATAACATTAGCAACCTGCCTCTGAACAGTCAAATGATGTGAAACAGATCCTTCATGTGATAGCATTTAAAAAGTTGGTCTAGTTGGATTATGTATAGTTGGATTATATATTGTAGTCATTATGTTTCATTGTTGTTTTTCTTGATTGGATTATATATTGTAGTCATTATGCTTCATTGTTGTTTTTCTTGTGTGGATTATATATTGTAGTCATTATGTTTCATTGTTGTTTTTCTTGTTTGGATTATATATTGTAGTCATTATGCTTCATTGTTGTTTTTCTGGTGTTCCCTTTTATCATACAAGGCATTACTTAACTCAAATTAAACACATTTTGGCCTCATTAATTCGATCAACCCCATTAAATCCATCAACCCCATTTACTCCCTTGACCCAATTAATTTCTTTTACATTATTAACTCTCTCTACCTCATTAACCCCATTAACTCCATTGTCACATCACCATAACTCAGTCAACCTCATTAACCCCCTTGACCAAGTGAACTGCCTGGACCCCATTAACTCCCTCTACCTCATTAACCCCTTTGACCCCATTAACTCCCTGGACCCCATTATTCCCTTGCCACATCACCATAACTCAGTCAACCTCATTAACTCCCTTGACCCCATTATTCCCTTGCCCCATCAACATAACTCAGTCAACCTCATTAACTCCCTTGACCCCATTACTCCCTTGCCCCATCCCCATAACTCAGTCAACCTCATTAACTCCCTAGATCCCTTTAACTCCTTTTCCTTATTACTATAACTCCTTTGACCCATTACCATGACTCCATCTACCCCATCAACTCCTATAATCCAATCAAGTCCGGATCACTCTGTTTACTTACAGATGTGATCATTCCATCGTACACTGATCACAGAAAATTATTACAAAATAAGACAATCATGTTGAGAATAGCTGATTCTTCATATATTTGTGTATAATCACATTGAAACCTGACTATTGGACTCAGGTGTCAAGAATTTTAATAATGATGTGACATGCTGAATGTGAGAGTGAGAGTGTGAGTCGCAGGAAAGCTGACTCGACTGTAATATAATACAAAAGTGAGTCAGGAATGTTGAGTGGACAGTACAGCAATGTAATACTCAAGTAAGTTGGTTACAAGAGAGCTGAGTGGAGGTTAAGGAAATGTAAAAGTGAGTCTTACATATTAAAGAAGAGTTGTAATTGTACAGAAATGTAATGTTAAAATGAGTCGGTTACAGTAAAACTGAGTCAATTGTACAGAAATGTGATGTTAAATTGAGTTAGTTGCAGAAAAGCCAAGTCAATTGTACAGAAATGTGATGTTAAAATGAGTCAGTTAAAGGAAAGCCGAGTCAGTCGTACAGAAATGCAATATTAATTGAGTTAGTTACAGTAGAGCGGAGTCAATTGTACTGAAACGTAATGTTAAACTGAGTCAGTTGCAGGAAAGCCAAGTCAATTGTACAGAAATGCAATGTTAAATTAAGTTCGTTACAGGAAAGCTGAGTCAATTGTACAGAAATGTAATGTTAAAATGAGTCTGTTAAAGGAATGCTGAGTCAATTGTACAGAAATGCAATGTTAAATTAAGTTCGTTACAGGAAAGCTGAGTCAATTGTACAGAAATGTAATGTTAAATTGAGTCAGTTAAAGGAAAACTGAGTCAATTGTACAGAAATGTAATGTTAAAATGAGTCTGTTAAAGGAATGCTGAGTCAATTGTACAGAAATGCAATGTTAAAATGAGTCGGTTAAAGGAAAGCTGAGTCAATTGTACAGAAATGCAATGTTAAAGTGAGTCAGTTAAAGGAAAGCTGAGTCATTTGTATAGAAATGTAATGTTAAATTGATCACTTAAAGGAAAGCCGAGTCAATTGTACAAAAATGCAATGGGAAATTGAGTCAATTGTACAGAAATGCATTGTTAAATTGAGTCAGTTGCAGGAAAGCTGAGTCAATTGTACAGATATGTTATGTTAAAATGAGTCAGTTAAAGGAAAGCTGAGTCAATTGTACAGAAATGCAATATTAATTTGTTCAAACTTTTTATTTGCCAATTTCACGTCTGATTACTTTTATATGTTATTTACTATGTCATACAAAATTTCAAAAAAAAAAATGCAAGGAAATCTTTCCAGTATTCAATATAGGGTTTTAAAATGATGTTTTCCAGATATATTGTTATACTATTGTAACCTTGACAATCAAAACATGTGTTGTCAGGTGTAATGTGTTGTGACCTTGAGCTATGACCATTGTGTTGTTGTGACCCTGACATTGTAAGGACATGATGACCAGGGTAATGTTGTGACCTTGACATTGTCGATAAGGACATGTGATGTCCAGGGTAATATTTTAACCTCGACATCGTTGGTAACGACATGTAATATCCAATGTTGTAACCTTGACATCGTCAGTAAGGACATGTGATGTCAGTTGTAATGTGTTGAAACTTTGATGTCGACTATCAGGACATGTGATGTTCAGTGTATTGTCTGTAAAGTTCTCATCCGAAGTGTTCATTGTGGACTTTGTCCGTTCTAAACAGGTTTTTCTCTTAGTCAAAGAGTCTGTTAAAACAGGTTTTACATAGTGTTGTCTGCACTGGACTGATACCAGGTTATCTACATTATACTTTGTATAGTTTCTTTTGAAGTTGAATATCAATTTTAACAAAAACAAATTTGCCAGTACATGTTGATTCAGTACTGGATTTCTCATCGTTTCTTTTCACAAGACGACCTCATTATAATCAAGGTTGCATGAAATGCGTAATAAAACTGATGACACGACCATGATTACATTGCAGAAAGTAATGACACGATCGATGGTGTTGATGCTTTCAGAATAATAGTGTGTGATAGGTATTTCTCACATCATACACGAATTATCTCTACTGTTTTACATCTGTCATTCTTTAAGGTATGACAGACTGGGTTGACAGATAGCATGTGGAATGACACAATACTGTGACATCATAGGAACAATTATATATGACGTCACAATGATCTCTCGACGAGAGGTTATTTGCAAATCAGGATAAAGAAATACTAAAATCATTGTTTTCAAACATTATACACGGATGATGAGAGAAGAATAATCATCCCCTATCTTGAAGTTGTGACAGCAAAACTTCCAGCCCGAGGGGTGATTATATTGGCTGTCTAACTCAAGGCTCTGCCAATGGTTAGACGACCAGATGATCACCGCAATGGTTGTAGATTTCTCTGTTACACCCTCAAGGTAAGGGAAGATTCCTATCATCTTTTCCCCAATGAAAATGAGAGTCCACCAGTGAAGTGTGGGAGATTTATTTATGTTGTGAGTTTTTGGTGAGTAGTATGATGTTGTTCTCTCAATTTTGTCAAAGATTTAGTCTGGATCTGAAAATATCTAAAAAATATTTACAGTTAAATCAAACAGACCCTATGCTGTTCTATGCATTGATTTAATTGAAATTGTAAAAATAGGAAAACATTGAGAATTATTTTATTATTTTAAAATTCGAAAGTGAAGGTAAAACAAAATGGTAGTCTCACTCCAAAATAGGGTAATTTTGGTAAGTATATACATTTTGAAAGTAAAAATTCAAGGTCATTCTTACTTCATCACCATAGTTACTGAGAGTAAGTTCTACATTGATCATGTGACTCCAGTGCAATGATATGTATACCTTTATATTCTGTATTGCACTCATTCAAACTTCAATATGAAGTCTAATTTGTTTATGCTATACATGTACATGTATTTTAGTACTAGTTACAAGTGCTGTGTATTTGATATTACTGAAGCAATTAATAAAGTAATTACTGTATGATTTTGTTGATTTTGTATAAAAACCTTGTACAGAAAACACCCGTAATTGGAAAATATGTTTATTTCATTAAAAATAGTAAAACAATATATGTTTAACATCAGAACCAGTTTGAATTCTAGATAAGGAATTACAAATGAATGTTAACATGAATGCAAGTGTCATAAACGTTATGAAAATATAATAACAAATACAAAATAAATTCTACATCAGTTAATTTTTCTAATATCTTATAAACAGATCATATTTAATCATTTTTCTGATAAGAATAAAACCATTCTATTTATCATCATTTTCACATGACAAACATCCCTTATGTAGATCACTTACATAGTCAGAACATTCAACCTTAATTGCATCCATAAATGTCTATTACAACAAGGGGGGGGGGGGGGGGGAGCATCACCAGAGTCCTCAAAACCATCCCACAATCACAAAAGATGCTTTATTAGTATTCAAAGTACCATTTTACACCTACGTAACAAATTCAAGCAAAATTGATCAATTTCATTCAATCAGAGGCAAGTTTCTGGTGGTCATTTTGTCCAATTAGAAAAAAAGAAGCTGCACTAATGTTCGTTGTACCCCACTGACAGAAAAAAAATGTTCAGTTTAGTTTTGGGGACAAAGAATATTTAGGAATGTTCGTACACGTGAATTCATACAACCATATCTCAAACAGCTTTAGGAATTTGGCACATTTTAATGAAAGAACATGCGTTTGTATTAATATATTATATTGCTTATGATTTCAAATAATAATGATAATAATTTGAGGTTCTTAAATACCGCTTTATCACAACCTAGTTTGTAGGTCGTCTCAAAGAGGTTCACAAATTATTATATGTGGTTATAGGGCCTTTGCAACCAGCCGATACCTTTCTACCTCCCTGGGGAGCAGACAGCTGGTGCTGCCATTTCGGTGCTCATAGGTAGCATTCAACAATTCTAGCATTGCACAACCATTGACAGCTGAGTAGACTGGAACAAGCGGAGTAAAGTATCTTGTTCGAAGATACAACACAGTGCCGTGACATGACTCGAACCTGCAACCCTTCGGTCACGATCCCGCTGTCTTACCACTAGACTACCGTGTCTCTACATAGAGAACATTAATCACACCTTTCATTTATCACTTTCTAATCATCGATTTCTCACATCATTGATTACCACATATCCCAGCTAACTACTTAATAATAAAGACTTCCAAAATATGGAACTATGGCAATGAAAATATCCATTCACAGATGTTTACTCTTTTAAAACTTAGAAACTTCATAAATATTTTCATTGCCACAAATGATGCATCAATATCAAACTGTAAGATATAATGTTATTTCATAGTATCACATAATCTCATTTCTCCTAAATACTTTCAGCCTGTGGGTTTTGACAACCTCTCTATACAGCCAATTTAGAGGAGTCCATAGTGCTCCATTATAACAGATTTCACCATATAAGTATATTAAAAATGGTTGATTTTGGGTATTGATCTATTTTGTGTATACCAATAACAATGTAAAATCTTAAATAAATCTAGTACCATTTTAGAATTATTTTAAAATTCAATCACTTCCCTGTAAAAGTCTACTTCTTTCTGACACAGTTTTATATTCATCCTCGCTCTCCGAGTCGCTAGCCTCTTGGATGTTGCCCTGGTGATTCAGTGGCTGGGTGGTCGATTGTGAGACACAACTGCGTAGACAGGGTATCCAACTGAGGTCCACTAGGTTATTGTATAAGGCTGTACCGATCAGTAGGAACAGGAAACCATCCACTGTGTGAGTAGATAAGCATGTTAAAGAATTAACATATAGGGCTGGCAATAAGAAAACATTTATGAGGGGAGATAACTAGAGGTTTCAAAATCAGTGAAACACATTTTCAGACTAAAATAGGAACAGAAATCACTGAATGATGTACGTCACAATGTGAGAATGCAAAGCGTTATTATGTGACATCACAAGAGATGCATTAACCAATATAAAATCATCTACAGTAAAACCTTGTTATACTGCCACTATTTGTCCAGAGAAAGTTTGTCATTATAAAGGGGTTTGACAAATATTGGTGGGAAATGTATAAAGGAATTCTTAAGAAAACAAGGAAAAGGGCTCTTTTTGGACTAACAAGGTAGCAAATGAAAAGAGAGGTTTCGCTCTATATTGTGATTCTCCAGGTTTATTCAATACCTTGATGGTGTTTTACCTGATGGAGTGAGGAAAAACATTGGTAGTAATTGAGATATTTACTACGAATTACTACAGCTATCATGGATATACAGTTACAGTGTGCCACTGATACAAATAGAGAAAGATATCGCCAGTATGAACGGACTGACAAGAAATCAACAAGTACAGCAATGGAAATATCGGCAAAAGAATCTTACAAGTTATATTTCAAAACACAGTAGAGTGAGCTAGGCCTAATATATATATGACTGTGCAGTAAGGATTTAACTACTACATCCCACATACCTTGTAACAGACCATAGGTTTTATCAAACGGTTCACCAAACCCCTGTAAAAAAAAAAAAAACATTAGGAGTGTATGAGTGTATGAAAGCATTATTAGAATAAATCACTTTGCTTTGCAAACAACGCCTGTGGTTGTTTTTTTGTGAATACTTCTGAATCTGGGATTGAGAAGAAGCTACTTCAACATAGATAGTAATAATGTATGGACATCACATTTGCCAAAGATTTTCCTTGCAAATTAGCAAGTCCTTATTAGTACATTTGTGTCCAGGTGAGCTAAAAGTCTCCACAGCAATTCAATTTATCGCCATCTTTTGTTATTCATATAGGTTGTGTAAATCAACCAGAAGAGGAAATACTTTTCAACACAATATTATTACGTCCTACATGCCTTCAAATCAGACGTTCACCAAGGTACAATTTAAACATTAATTTATTTTAAAGTCAATGCTTACCTTATCAAATGCATAGTAGACAAAGAGATCAATTCCCCAAACTATGATTGTTCTACAGGCGTCAATCAAAGTACGATGTACAGCTGAAACAGACATGTTCATATATAGTTATAATGCCTCACTGCAAACCAAAAGAATATAATGGTCCTGTGACCTTGACCTTTTACCATTAAAAACCTTTTTGAACCCAGAACGTACTATGTAAAACGTGTGATGAGTTTTCTAAACAAGAAATACCTTAATACATCTTTGTGTGACGTCCTAGATATCAGAAAATTACTGCACAAGTGATGACTTCCCCCCCATTGGAATTGGATTTCCACACTCCCGAGGAAGATTTTACTGCCCTATCTCAGGTAGATAACTAGCATAAAAATTACATTATATATGACATATTTAAACCAGAACTTACATATTTTTGAACTGTTGTGTAGTTTATATGCCAAGTAAAGTGTAATAAGTTGTTGACAATTTTTTTTTTTTTTTTTTTTCAATCTGTAAATGCATTCGCACATATGAATAAGTTTAATAGCAAGGCCATTGTGAAATTTACAGTATGATAAAAAAAAAATCATCGTTTCACAAAACATGTGTGTTATTGTTTTATTTGTTTGGTTTAGAAAACGGATCATACCCTATCTAGGGAAGGAAAAATAAATGTCCACCCTCGACAGTCAAACCTTTAATTAACAGAAGCATCCCCAATTAAGACAGACAAGAATGACCTCCTCACATGGACATTTCTATGTTCTACCCTCAAGGTAGGGAAAGATTTTATCATCCTCCCCCATTAGACAGAGATACCACACTTCCAGTCACGGAAAGATATCTCTATCTTACCCTAGGGTAAAGACGGGGAATTAATTTCCCTGTCGTAACAATTGCATGACGTCACTTCAACCAATGCAATTACATCACATCAACAATAGCAGATCTTGGAAGATAACTCTGATTTACTGGAAATTATGAAATCAATATTTGCATTTCATGAACCCACCACTTGCATTTAATGAGAGAGAAATATTCATATCCCGCTTTAGAAGTAAGACAGAAAAATCTCAACCCTCTGGGTAAGATTCTTAAATGTCTGGCTCTTGGCAAAGCCTCGGGTTAGACATTTAAGAATCTTACCCCTTGGTTTGAGATTTTTCTGTCTCACCCCCAAGGTGGGGAAAGATTACATTAATCCATAAGTTTACCTGTGAGAGACTTGGTGACAGCTAGGCCAAAGTAATTATAGAAAGCAATAGAGAGCAGGTATAGCAGACAGAACACCAGTAGCCGGGAATCATTTGCAATCTGGTACAGGGCGTCCAGACTGTTCTCGTAGCTATTGTTTACATCTGACCCCGGGATATAGTACATAGCTGGAAGGACTATCTGCAACAACAAAACAGTTTAATTTCACCCTTTTATTAATACAGTCAGAGTCAGTTATTTTGAAGTTTGATGAGTCAAATATCGCTCTTCACGGGAGCATATTAATTCAGCTAAACCTCACTGTGTCTCAATTGTTTTCTTTATAACAAGACTGATAGGTTAAATTTTTGTCCTGGAACTTTGTGTTGTGCAGGTTTACTGTAAATATCTGTGTTAGGTAGGAAGCTTCATCACAAAATATTTTATGATTCAAAAATAAGTCCGGCCAAACATTCTTGTATTTTGCCCTCTGACCGCCTGCTGTGACCTTGACCTTGAGACTAAGGATGTGTGTTTGGTCCAAGACACACTTTTTTTCATGACACACATACAAATAATGCTTCATTAAATTGTTTTGAGGAAGTCAAATATTCAATTAAAATGATTCAAAAGTTATTAATTTGAATTAACCTTGGGAGAACCATGATCTGGTCATAAAGTACAAAATTTACATTGCAAACATGCATTGCTATGATTTGACCCTTGATCTCTTGACCTGACCATGAGGTTTGGTATGCACTGCACACAATCTTATCATAATACATATTTCTGTGCATTTTGATCAAACAATCTTCAACAGTTCAATATATAAGCTCTGATTACGGCAAGCATTGCATTGATTTGACAATTGACCTCTGGCTGTGACCGTGACCTTGGGGGTACAGGCCTCCATGTGGTATGGAACGCTTTTTCAATATCTTTATTGACACATCTATGAAACTTCACAAAAGGGGTTAAGAATTTATGGTCCAACAAGATTTGATATACATGTGGCATGGTGGTGCAGAGATAGGGCACCCGCTTTTCACCAAAACAGCATGGATTTGATTACACATAGGACGTGGAAGGGGTAACTAAATTCCAACCATATGGGTTTTCTTCATATGCTCAGATTTCTTCCAACATTAAGGCACTTTGTGTGCTTTTATCTTGTTATATCTCTGAATATTTTCAGCTGTAAAATGTAAACATATCAAACGTACCACAGACATGAAAATAACACCATAGCTGCCTTCAAGTCCAACAACCTGAAAAATATAATTGTGCTTTAATAAAATGTACAGGGCACCATTTCAAATATCAGTTCATGTATAATATAGTAAAGATAGAGAACCATCTTGTACGAAGTTTCCAATATCAAGCAATTATTAATTCTACAAACACACTAATAACTTTGGTTTCCTTTTTCTTTTTTTTTTCAAGGTAGACATGACATATAATAGTATATATAGTAATAGTATATTTTATATTTTTTTCTTCTTTAAAAAGTTGTTATAAACATAAAACAACTAATCATTCAAGCAAAACAGTTACATACCTTTTGTGTTTAATAGAATACTTTATTTCATGATTTCAAATATTGTAATCCTCTTGACTAATCAAAGCTTTAGTCCAATTTGATGTAACAGTGAAATGTTATTCTAGCGTGTCCAAGTTTTGAATTTCAATTTGATGCTAAAATTGCCCGTAAGTGTCATCATCTTGGGGAATGGACATTACGTAACTTTGACAAGCAAATAATAAGTGCACAACTTCAGCAATATTATTGTACAGTCAAACCTGTTCATAGAGACTACCTGTATTAGGAGATCATCTGTGCTGAGGACTTCCTGAGGTGATCTCTTAATTCAGATTTGACTGTACATGAAATGGAAAGATTTTGTGAAAAAATGTACCCATAGTCCTAAAGGAAACATTTTCAAAATCCATGTTCATTTTAATCTGAGTATCCTAATTAACTTTTTCCACTGTCTTCATATGACCCTAGCTGTTGGGAGGACGGTAAATCTCAAACAAACTGAACTATTTTCAGGACAATTCAAAGAGTACAATACAATACGGTATCGTAAACTATATCAAAAAGCTGAAATAAGTGAGACAAATTGTAGACACATTTTCACCTTTGGAATAAACACTGGTGAACAAGCATATTTTACTTTTAACAGCACTTATGGTCTTGTACCGGTACTTGCCTGCAGTGGATGAAGACTTTTTTTCTTTAGGAATGTTTCCTCTATAATCATCTGAGAAGCACTGACAATCTGACTGGATATGATCAGTATTATACCTAAAAATAATAATGCATTATTCAATTTGCTAGGATCTGAAAATCCCCATGAATAATACTTCATTACACCTGTGTTAAACGTGTTAAAAGATTCAGCACTGTTTACTGGGGAGAATGAGCTCCACCGTCCACTAAGCAGAAGGTTCGGTGAAGTTCAGTGTACCCCATTGGATGGAATTCAATAGTCTGGCCATACAAGTACTAAATTCAATAGAAGAATAACCAGAACAACATCAAATGGATTCATCAGCAGATTGAATCCAACATTTACATGTTTCGGCTTACGACCATTGTGATGTTACCCCCCAATGAATGTTGTCACAGTCATCCCTCCTACAGAATTGATTTATCTCTTGTTCAAGACAGTGTATCTAGTGGGACAACATGCAGTACATCTCTACCTATTTTAGAGACAGGGGCCTGTGCATGTGACGTTGGGAAATGTCACACACAAAAAGCATAATGGTTTTTGGAAAATAAAGTGATTTTTGCATTGATTTAGGAAATTACAGCAGAAACTATCTAGGGGAAGGAGGCATTTTTAAGGCCCCAAATTCACAAAAAATAAATAACTGATATGGAAACCTTTGATTTGAGTTTACACATTTTAATTTATGGACTAGACCTGGTACTATAGCCTCTTTCAAAGTCATGTCCAAAGAAATCAATTATACTGACATGTTACAGTCGGACCCTGCAATATCTTAGCTATTAAATGTTTTAATGCAAACACTCCATAACACAATACCATGGTTTATCAGAATCTATTTCTTGCAATATACTCATTTCAGTGTAATTTTTGTTTAAGCTCGTTTTGCCACATCTTTCGTGTGCTGATTTATATACATTTTCCATAATACACTTGCTCAAAGAAAAAACTAATTCAGGAATGCGCTAATATAGTTTGATTGGATGAACCATTGATCACTAAAGCTTGGGTATAAAAGAACATATAAAGTATCTTAGCAGACATGCATCTTGCAAGATGTAAGAACAGTAACATGTAATCATAATATATTTCTTATTGACGCATTTCAAAAATATGTCTTTGATGTTACCTAGAATTGTGTTGCCAGCATTTCGGTTGCTACTGTCCGCCTTGAATATACTCGAACAGCCTACGAGCACCAAACCCCCCATGGTGAAAAACATCCCTGTCCATTTTATACAACCAAGCTGACGTTTCAGGAATATCCTCTGAAATATGTACATTATTATCAAAACAAAGGTTTGTTAAAACAAACAGCAGAGTAATATACAGTGAAGCCTTATTATACTGTCGCCATTTTAAGATTTTTTCTATTGACTTTTTGGCATTAGAATGGGGTTTGTCAAATGAAAGTTTGCAGTTAAAAGCAATGTCTGCAAATGAAACAAATACTATTTTATCAAGATTTTACTGTATTCAAGATCACACGATTCAATTATGTAAAATGCTTATTTAAAAGGGTCAAAGGTAACCGTGAAACACTGACTGAGGTCAAAGGTCAACATGCATGGCTGTACCATTTACAGTGTTTTTTAAAATATTAAAATGCATGATTCACCAGTTTTGTGGTATTTTAGCAGTAGGCATGAAGATGGAATGCTATGAAGTCTTGTCATATAAATGTCCTTGACCTACTTTCAAGGTCACAGGGGTCAGATATGTTTAAACTTGATCAGCTTTTCAAAATTTCAAAAATACCCAACACTGTAAATAATGATGCAAGAATCAAACAGAATATCTTAATGCAGTTTGACTTATATTTTGTACTTCAACATACTCTGAGTTGTAATATAAAGAGTAACAGATAGATAAGGTAACTTAGACAACCAGCAAATTCTGAAATTTATACAAACTTACGGATAAAATTCCTGCAAATATGATGATGGAGCCCCGTAACATCTGCCAAACTGAAGCATCCACGTACACCAGGCCAATACCTGTCATATACAACACATAGCTTTAGAACTCCAGCCCTAGTCTGATCAACGTTTCATAAAGATAAGAAACGTGAAGTAAATAAAAAATCCTAATAATAATAATGTAGGTATATGGGATACAGGTTTTTTTCCCCCGAGGATAAAGAATTTGGGTCAGAACTGAGGCTGTGCCAAGGTTCTGATGCCGAATTCTGAATCCGCTGGTAGAATATTCATATCCTACATTATTCCTACAGGATGACCGACTCTTTTTCTACCACCTCTTAATCAAGATTTTGGAAAAAAACACTGTAAAAGACACCAATGCAACACTAAATAAAGCAAAAGTTTTGACAACATATACATAAACTAAAACAGCTTTGTAAATACCATAATAGGGTGTATAAATAAACTACATCTCTAAAGAGGTTCATAGATATTTTATACACAAGCCTTTTACTACATACAGACAGATGCATACACACCTGTACTCACAAAGCAATTACTATGTAGTACATGTACTTGTTTGCGTAAGTGGGGTTTAAAATTAATAAGAAAAATTATTGAAAGTAATCCATAGTTCTTTTCCACTGGACAAACTTCAGTATCAACAAATGGGCTAAAAATGAAGAAAGGGACATAACTCTGTGTATGTGATGGTCCCCATCCCAAGAAGTACTAACATACAAAATCTGGCAATTGATGGTGACAGAGTATATGAGATACAACCAGACAAAGTGTTGGACTGACTGACTGTGACAAAATGATTAATGAACTGCAAACAGCTCAAGAACTACCAATAGGGTACTAATAAAATCAATATCAACATGATGTTGCTTTATCTGAAAGGAGGTAACCAAGAAAGCACATTAGTTTTGACATGGTAGAATAGAGTAAATCAACCTAAGTTTGTTAATTACGTTATTACATGCTGATTATTTCCCATGTTTTTACCTGCCAGTGAAGTTCCAACCAGATCACACACAGTAGGGAAAGCCACGACCAGCTGGATCAGTCTGTATACAGTGTACCGCACATAATGATATTTAAAATCGAATTAATTAGGAGTTTTACAAATGCATACAAAGAATCAACCCTACAGTCAAATATTTCTTAAAGATCACCTGTCTATAACTACAGTCAGAAAAAATTTCAGAGACAGTGTTACTATAACTACTACTTGTCTAATGCTACTCAAACCTGCCCTGGGGACCACTTGTCTATAGTTATAACTACTACTTGTCTAATGCTACTCAAACCTGACTTGGGGACCACTTGTCTATAACTATAACTGAATATGGTTAAGAGACAACCTTCTTCTAGCTACCACCTGTGTATCACTGATACCTATCTATATTTACCACCTGTCTATATCTACCACCTGTCTATATCCTACCAACTGTCTATTTTTGCCACCTGTCTATATTTACCACCTGTCTATATCCTATCACATGTCTATGTTTACCATCTGTCTATATCCTATCACCTGTCTATGTTTACCACCTGTCTATATCATATCACCTGTCTATTTTTACCACCTTTCTATATTTACCACCTGTCTATATCTACCAACTGTCTACATCTACCACCTGCCTATATTTACCACCTCTCTATATCTACCAACTCTATATTTACCACCTGTCTATATTTACCACCTGTCTATATCCCACCACCTGTCTATATTTACCACCCGTCTATATCTACCACCTGTCTATATCCTACCATCTGTTTATGTTTACCACCTGTCTATATTTACCACCTGTCTATATCTACCAACTGTCTACACCTACCACCTGTCTATATCTACCAACTGTCTACATCTACCACCTGCCTTTATTTACCACCTGTCTATATCCTACCACCTGTCTATATTTACCACCCGTCTATATCTACCACCTGTCTATGTTTACCACCTGTCTATATCCTATCACCTGTCTATTTTTACCACCTTTCTATATTTACCACCTGTCTATATCTACAAACTGTCTACATTTACCACCTGCCTATATTTAACACCTCTCTATATCTACCACCTCTCTATTTTTACCACCTGTCTATATCTACCCCCTGTCTTTATCTACCACCGGTCTATATCCTATCACCTGTCTATTTTTACCTCTTTTCTATATTTACCACCTGTCTATATCTACCAACTGTCTACACCTACCACCTGCCTATATTTACCACCTGTCTATATCTACCACCTGTCTATGTTTACCACCTGTCTATATCCTATCACCTGTCTATTTTTACCACTTTTCTATATTTACCACCTGTCTATATCTACCAACTGTCTACATCTACCACCTGCCTATATTTACCACCTCTCTATATCTACCACTTATCTATATCCTAGCACCTGTCTATAACTACCACTTGCCTATAGCGCCCTCCTATCTATAACTACCATTTGTCTATATCTCCCATCTGTTTGTAACTACCACCTGTCTATTTATCCATCTGTCTATATTTACCGCCTGTCCATATCTACCACCTGTTTATAGCCACCACCTGTTTTTGGTCTACCAATTGTCTATACATACCACCTGTTTATAACTACCACCTGTCTATAACTACCACCTGTTAATGTCTATCATCTGTCTTTATCTACCACCTGCCTATACCTACCACCTGTCTATACCTACCACTTGTCTATATCTACCACCTGCCTATACCTACCACCTGTCTATATCAACCACCTGTCTATACCTACCACCTGTCTATATCTACCACATGTATACAACTACCATCTGTCTATATTTCACCTTTCTATAACAACTTCAATAAATCTTTTTTTATTCTTAAAAGGAATGCATACATACCATTTTCTATTAGATTTGATTTATTTCTCTCAAGGACAGTTATCTTAGACACATTTCACTAAAAATCATACAGTTGTTTAACGGTATAATAGATATCTTAAAAGAGAATTACCTGTTTGGGTGCGGCATCTCAGCTGCATTAATATGGCTCTGCAACACAATTAAATTTTACTTGCTCAAGATTTAAAGTAGAAACTTTCAACAAAAAAGAAATAAGATGTTTATCTGAAAGTCTAACAAACTTGGACCAAATTCTATGTTTAATAATCTATAAGCTTGTTACATTCTTACCTCTGCCCTCCACCTATCTCGATCCCGTTTGCGCACCACACAAAAACCAATCAAACAAATTGTCTCCCCTGAATGGCAAAGAAAAAGGCACCAATGCACAAATAAAATATCATCAGACAGATAGAAAACAGTTGATTTAATAAATACTTCAAAATTGTATTGCATGCCATCAAAAAGTTCTTGTTTATCTTTAATAACGATAAATCTTCAGTAAAGTCTTCCCCTATACTCCAGGTGTTACGCTCACTTTCGCTCTCTGCACCCCTGGAATATGTAATTGTCATACCGAAATTGAAGGCACATGGCTAGCTTTTTGATTGGTCTCATGTAAAAAAAACTGACTAATTGCTAGGCTGATCCCAGGCCTTTGAAGATTACATGAAAGGATCAAACTTGTCTTCTTGTCTCATCCACAAGGTGGGGTATACTGAGCCTTCAATTTTTTCACGACATATTCCAGGGGTGCAGAGAGCGAAAAGGAGTCTAACCCCTGGAGTACCGAGGATGTGTTCAAGTCTTTGTGTAGGAACCATCATCACAAAAGTTGCATCCCTACACTAACTAATCTGAAATAACTATCTCCTTTGGAAATTGATTTGATGGGAAGGATCTCCACCCCGATCAAATGTTTGGACTACAGACTTACATCTACATGATAAGAGTATTTACCTTACTTTTTCTACACATTGTACAATTTGCATAGAGCAGATAAGACATTTCTAGGATAAATATTAAATTGAGAAACCATAGATATTGAAATATGTACGAAAGGCTTAAACTTATCAATTATTTATCAAAACATTGTTGACAATTACTGCACTGATGTGTATGTAGGAAATGGATTTCTATTTTTTCCAATTCTGAATTTTACCGATGAACATGATGAGTGTCTGGAACCATGGATGGTTAAAGTCATGAGGAGAGGTTGTACCATTGGCTTTGTGGTCCGGGTATCCTGGAGCCCTGCAAAACAGACACATAAGGTAATTTCTTATTAAACATTCAAAACTTTTCCTTTATACAGATATTAAAACAGTTATAATTCAGCTCTAGTTAAAATATGTTCCTAACTGATTCTAATTTTTTCAATAATCATGCTATTTAATAAGTGGTAAAATTAGTTAAATTACACATATTATGAAGAGTATTTATAGATGTAACAAATAACAAAAATCCGATAGCATATGCCTTTTTTCTTTTTTAACATCTCCATACCACTGCCAAAAACTGTAATCATTAATTTGAAAGTTTTCTACCTGCATGACAATATCTTAAAATATCTTTTCTGAAAAGAAACTCATACTTTGTGATATTTTTATGAAAACAGAAAGATTGATGGAATAAACAAAAAGGATATCAAATAAAGTGTTCTGTAAGTAAAACTACAACAGAGCCAGACCAGGATTCAAACCCTGGGCCTCCTATCACATTATAGTCACCCTAACCATCTGGCTATTTGAACAGCAATAATTCCCTGGCCTATTCAAGCTACAGTTATATCCAATACGGAATTAAGGGGAAGTTACTGTATATATATATATGAGAAACTACAGTGGAATTCTCCAGTGTTTTATCTGCAGTGGGACATGGATCCTTAAGCTATACAAATATTTTAAGATCCTATTTAAAGTTCTGACACACTTCACTCAGGTTACCAGCATACTGGGTTCAAAGGCTGGCTACTTGTAAATGACCCAGTTTTATTAACCTGACCAGGAGCAAATCTATACGATTTAATGCTAGTGTTTTATGATCTAATGCTAATGTTCGAGTTCATATAAATTAATATATAATGTTTTTGAATGTTCAAACAAACAAAATAATGTTTCGTGTCCTACATTTTGTTAAATGTGTTATTATGACCAACACATATCGTTCTGTGATCAATATAGTATGTCCGTCATCATTAATATTCTTCATAAAACTTGCAACTGGATGGTTCACAAAGTATATTTTAATATCACGAAGTACAACAAGGTATGTATTTTTTACTCAAAGTTTGACATACTATTTCAAGTCAGTGCTAAGATGGAGATGCAGAATTTGTTTATTTTCAGAAGATATGTTTTACACATAAACAATATATTTCAAAATTGGATGAAAAGACAAGAGGCCCAGAGGGCCTGTATTGCTCACCTGGATATATAAGCAATCATGGCAAAATATTCTCCAAATAAGATCCAAGGGAATGGGCCAGACTACAAGGCCTATCCTAATGTAGCATATCTGTATTAGATTTTTCATGCCCAGCAATTTTATGTATGGTTATGGGGTGGAGATCTCAACTGTTTCCAAGCTGTGACTCAGAAACTAGGTCCCTAGGGTTGTGGCCAGACCCCAGGATCAATTATAATATCATGACTGCATTCCTCTCTTTATGCCCAGCATTTGTGTCTATAGTTTTGGGGTGGGGATCTCAACTGTTTCAAAGTTATGACCCAGGGACTATGTTTGTAAGGGTTGGGCCAGACCCCAGGGCCATCCTGAAAGCATATGTGCATTCTTCTCTTTATGCTCAGCAAGGTCAGCCCCACCATTTTTACATTTTGAATCCCCGCCTCCCATGAATGCTTTGGATCAATTATGACTGATATCCATTGCATAGTTCTACAGAAGAAGTAATTTATAGCAATATAGCCAAATTGCCCCCTTCTGGCCCCGCCCCTCAGCCCCCTGGGGGGGGGGGATCAGCCCTACCATTTGCACAATTTTGAATCCCCACCACCTAGGGATGCTTCCGGTCAAATTTAGTTAAATTCTAAACAGTTAAGAAGAAGTCCTTTGAAGAAATTGTTGACGTACGGACGACGGACAGACGCCGCGGTATCGCATAAGCTCACCTTGGTCCTTCGGACCAGGTGAGCTAATAAAGGCAGTTATTGTGTCTGAAAATAATACACTATTTTCATAACTGAACAGAGGAAACAATACAGGGCAAAGATTTTTTGTGCAAGAGTTTTAGGCAGTATTTCAATTAGTTACCATCAAGCAGAAATGAGGTTAAAGTTATTAAATTACTTCTCAAGGTGTCAGATAAGTTATTTCAGTTTTGTTGAATAGAACAAGGCAATGTTTTAATGTCTGAGAATGAGACACACATTACACTATTTCAATGGCAAAGCAGAAAGAGACAAGTTCCTTTTTCTTAATGACTTATAGGTACTGTGTTTATTTATATGTAAGAGACTTAGCACTGAAAGGAGAAAAGGGAAGACATTTTTCTGAGGATGAAATCCTAAATCACTTCAAGCTCAGTCTGAGGATGGAAGAACATTCTTTCCTTGCTCACTGTATCTGAATGAAGTCAATTGCTAAGCATTGTGATGTAGACAAGTAAGACTCCTTTGGGGTACCTCTAATATTCAACACAGTACACAGCAAACAAATTTGCTTTCTGTAGTTGTAAGAATTATGATTTCCGGTTATAATATTGATGGCTGTGGATAATTGAAAAGTGGGAAGGGCGAGGGTCATGCACGGGACATGACTGCATGGGATGACACGGCCCACTCGTCATGCCACTGTCCAGCTTTGCTGCAATCTCATTTATAATTGTACCAGTTTTTGTAATAATACAACTGTATTTATCAACAAATGTTTTAGTCAAGTCAAAAACATTTAAATGAGAAGCTTTGTGATTAAAGTTATTATAAAAGGTCAGTGTTCAACCTGAAATCATATCTATAAACATTGGCAACGAGTAACCAAAATGTTTGCAGTACAAGTTAGGTCAGATATCACAGTTACTATATATGTCTTTTAAGATGCTTCACAACTTCTGGCTTAAAGCCAGCTTAATACAATGTCAATTGTTTTAAGTGTTTCATGATGAGAACACTCAAACCTTTGAACTAAATGTCTATACTTAAGGATGGGAATGTATAATCATCAAGTATTAGAAGGTAATGTGACAATATAAGAAAACGTATAAATCCATCTTAGCAGGTCTGTGGACTTAAAAGCAATGCCTGGGAATGAGTCATGACAATGAAGTGTGAGCAAATAAAACAGAAGCTCTTTACACAGAGGCCCACCGAGCGACCTGGCTCCGAGTTTCCTCTGACCCTGACACCAGATTTTGCCATTTTGACAGGTAGATGTCTGGTGTGGGACCCCAACTCCAGAATTTATATGTAAAAAAATCGAAGTCTGGTGTCAGACCAAAGGAAACTCTGGCTACGGGCTAGCCTGAGTTTCCTCTGGCCCGAATACCAGACATTTTGACATATACATGTCTGGTGTGGGGCCAGAGCGACTATTTTAACATATAGATAGATGTCTGGTCAGTGGGGCCCCCACAAGAGCTATCTATATGTCAAAATGTCTAATTCTGGTGTTAGGGCCAGAGGAAACTCGGGCTAGCTTAGCCAGGTCCAGTACACTCTGCCGATTGAGCTATATAGCTATAAAGACCTATATAGCTATATACACCTATAAATTATAGCTGTATTGAGCTATATTTTGCAAGATTTCAATTTTCATTAAATTAAAGAAAAGTCGCATAAAACAATAAGGTTTATGGTAATGTTGACTACAAAAATCATACAGTTAGATGTTTATTTTCATTTTTCATAAATGTAAAATTTCCGATTTTTTTAGATCATTATTTTTTAAAAAGAATCCTTATATTTAATGTCTTTTGTTATCAACCTAATGATACAATCTTCTTTTAAAAGCGACTTTGTTTCGTTTTCCTTAAAAAAGAAAATCACTTGAAAATAGCTCCAAAAACCTGTTTCAGATAGGTCAATAGAGCTATTATAGGTCTTTACAGCTATATAAAATAAGCTCAATCGGCAGAGTGTACTGGACCTGATAGCTACAGCCACGGAATTAGATGTTATCCAAGTCCGTGCTACAGCACAGGCGACCATGCAAAACTCACTGTCTGTTTTCTGTTACAACTTTCCAGTTTTATGTTTCCGACATGAAAGCTGAATGGAATTCATCAATGGGGAGCATGATAAACGTTTACCTACCTACAGTCGTTTTGTGCTTTTTTGCTCAGCGTGTTGATACTGCCGGTGACTAGCATTCCAATCATCAACAAAATTTGTCGACAGGAGAGCGCCATGTTTTTTGTCATGTGATTAACATGAATCACGTGATAAAGGGTATTTGGTTTGGCGCTGAATTATGAAATCCCGAGAGGCAAACTTGTTTCTTTTGTCGATTAGGCCTACTGGAGGCTTTTCCATATTCTCCTTCCATCAAACTACGTTGATAAGCAATGCATAGGATGATCCATTATGAACTTTATTTTAGTTTTCAAATATGTGCACCTTTATGACAGCTAGGCCAACTAAACATATAAGGAGCAATGTCCACGACAAGCCAATTCAACATTTATTCAATGAGCAATGACGGTCGATCCCTAATTCATAAAACAAAATAAGATATCTGATACAGTATATATATATCTTATTGAAGATCTTATATAATATACTAGAACTGTTATATAGAGAGAGAGAGAGAAAGGGAGAAACTAAATTAGACGATAGGCTAATAAAAGACAGTAGGCTTGCTGTCAACACGTTATCCTGTCGCCCTAATGTTCGAGCCCACCTCAAGGATGCGTGAAATGGCAGCCTCTAGAAGACTTGCTCCGAATGATTCTCGGGAAAAAATAGTTTCCCATTCTAAAATTTGTAATTTAATGTTGCCATTTTATGACCGTTTAATATGATGTTGCCGTTCCATCATCCTCGATATCCAGGGGTTAGCTCACTTTCGCTCTCTGCACGTACCTTAGAATATGTCATAGCAAAATCGAAGGCTCAGTGTGACCGTCTGTACATCAAAATAATCTAGCGGTCGCGTAACGGTAAAACTTATTGGCTTTGAAGTCGGGTGTCGCTCCTCTTCAAAGGACAAGTATCAGCCTAGTGATTGGTCAGGTGTTTTTTTACCTGACACCATCAAATAGCTAGCCGCATGCCTTCAATTTCGCTTTGACATATTCCAAGGGTGCAGCGAGCGAAAGTGATAGTAACCCCTGGATATCGAGGATGACGTTCCATGAACGTATATTAACATTTACGCTGCAACCCACTGCATGATTTGAGTATGAAAGCAAAAACTCTCGTGACATGACACGTGGTTTACTTATGACTTCATATATTAACCTTGTTCAATGAGAGTCTTGTCGCTTCGCTTCGGATTACATGGAGGAGAATAACCCTGCGTCAAACGCTAAAATGACTACGGTTAATGATTAGCGCCAATTTTAGTTAAATAGGGCTGTTCCGCCAATGTCACAGTAATTAAATAAATAAATTTAGAAAAATCAATAAAATTAAACAATTGTTCTATAGTAAAAGTGTAAATATATGGATTGAACGGCATTTTTTTTCAGTTTTCATGCGTTCATACCGGCATGAAAATTAAAAGATCGCCGTCCAATCCTTATTGATATGATGTTCACGCACCATAAACGTTGATATGATGTCGACGCCTTATGAATGTTTGATCTGATATGATGTTGACGCTACATGAACGTTGATATAGTGTTGACGCTTTGTGAATGTTTGATATGATGTTGACCCTCCATTAACTTTGATATGATGTTGACGCTAGATGAACGTTGATATGGTGTTGACGCTACATGAACAATGATATGGTGTTGACGCTACATGAACGTTGATATGGTGTTGACGCGCCATTAACGTTGATATATTGTTGACGCTCGATGAACGCTGATATGGTGTTGGCGCTTTGCAAATGTCTGATATGATATTGACGCTACATGAACGTTGATATGATTTTGACGCTCTATGAACGTTGATATGGTGTTGACGCGTCAACAACGTTGATATGGTGTTGACGCCCTATGAACTTTGGTATGGTGTTGACGCTTTGAGAATGTTTGATATGATGTTGACGCTTTGTGAATGTTTGATTTGATGTTGACGCTCCATGAACGTTGATATGATGTTGACGCTACACGATCGTTTATATGATGTTGACGCTCCATGAACGTTGATATGGTGTTGACACGCCATTAACGTTGTTATATTGTTGACGATCAATGGACGTTGATATGGTGTTGGCT